GGCTGCCAAAGGGTAAGAACTTAACCTCAGGTACTACAGAGCAGCTGTTCTACCATAAATTTACTTAGTGTAGTAAACTTTGTCACTGGTCCACACTTGCACTGCACAGCATCTATGAAATACTGTAAAGTGGATCAAAAAGAGCAAAAACCAGGCACTGTGGCATTTTCCAGTTGCCGTTAATTCAGGTTTCATATACACACGACACCTTGCACTTCAGTTCCAATCTTCTTAACTCAGTTATGTTCAAAGACTAGTAAAGAACAACAACAACTCGTTAAAGTTTCATATATGCTACACAGACAAAGCTAGGAAGATTGCTAGTCTTACAGGTATTCAGGTATATGAGAATAAAGAAAGAACCTTGGCAGGAGATCTGCCTTTCATTAAGGACATGGATCAGGACAGAGCCAGCATTTTTCTTTACTACTTCGTAATTCTGATGGAAAATAAAATTATGAAATAAATTCCGCAGTGTTGTTCATTCTTCTATAACGAGCAATATTTTCCTATTCTCAGTATACTTCTTGCATTCTTAATTTTGAGTTTCTTTCACAATTCCCTGCAATACTGCCCAAGTTTTGCAATGGCTATGCAAGGCTTTCATCTAGGTTGACAGCCATTTATGAACTGCTTTGATAAGCTGCCATCTCCCTTCCCCTCCTCCAAGCAGAAGCATCTGGTCCAGCTGGGACCCCACAAATGGAAGTGAGGACCGGAGTCTGGCAGAAGCGTGTAGCACTGGCAGGCTGAGTTACTATGAAGGTGAACAGGCAGTCCCAGCCCCAGCTCTGACAAACAGAATCACAGAATGCTTTGGGTTGGAAGGGACCTTTAGAGGTCATCTAGCCCAACCCCCCTGCAGTGAGCAGGGACAGCTTGAACTACATCAGGTTGCTCAGAGCCCCGTCCAACCTGACCTTCAATGTTGCCAGGGATGGGGCCTCCACTACCTCTCTGGGCAACCTGTTCCAGTGCTTCACCACCCTCATTGGAAAAAATTTCTTCCTTATATCCACTCTAAATCTATTCTTCTTTAGTTTAAAACCATTACTCCTTGTCCTGTCACAACAGGCCTTGCTAAAAAGACTGCCCCCATCCTTCCTATAGGCCCCCTTTAAGTACTGAAAGGCTGAAGTAAGGTCTCCCCGCAGCCTTCTCTTCTCCAGGCTGAACAACCCCAACTCTCTCAGCCTGTCCTCGTAGGGGAGGTGCTCCAGCCCTCAGATCATCTTTGTGGCCCTCCTCTGGACCTGCTCCAACAGGTCCATGTCCTTCTTGTGCTGAGGGACAGCCTCTCTCACAGCTCAGCTGAGATTTCTCCATGGATCTGAATAATATTGGAAACTAATTTCCAAGATGTTGCCACACTGAGATCATTTGTTGATAAAAGGTAAAACTGGATGAGTGGTGAGCCAAGAGTGCTCTTTATAAGCACTGATCCCAGTGCAACTACACAGGTCACATTTCCCTAGAGCTGGTACTGAGCAGGAGTAAGGAGAAAACCAGGAACAGTGACATTGACTTCCACCCCATTACAGCCTAGTGGTGAAGCTCTGCCAGTGATTTGCAAAGTGAAGGTTTCCACAGGCATAGCAATGGCATGCTTCCTCCTTGAAATTATTTGTATTACTGTTCTGCTTTACCTTAATTTAGCATGTAATTGATTTAAAGGTAAAATGAGATTTTGTTTTTCCAGACATTTATTTAATAAAATTTGATTTACTAGAAAAATACATTATTTCTAATTTATGGCAACCCCTTTCTAAACCCTTTTTAATTACATGGGTATTTGTGTTCCATTATTATCCTTCTGAGTTTGATGGCAGTATTATAATTGTACTGAATTCTTTCCTGAAGAGAATGCTGTTTTCTTTCTCTTTTTCAGCTCACTATGCCCTGAAGTTATTTTTTTTCCTTAATGAATTTGAGTGAAGCAGTAAAAACACATTCTCTGTGAGAACATTTCCAGCAAACTGTCTACAACATTCTTATTTCTGTCTGGAGATGCAGAGACAAACAGATGGGGCTGTTTACAACAACCTCACGCACACATACTACTGTCTTTATGCTTTCAGAGAATCTGCCCTGGGTATGTGCCAGAAGCAAAATTAAAAATAAGAGCTTAAGAAAAATATTTAATCTCCTTTCAAAGACTCCAAGTCATGCTGTTGCACTGTTGCTTAACTTTATCTCCTAGGTCATTTCACCATTTTTCCAGGGTAAGCTTATTTAAGTTCCACTTTAAGCACTGCATCTTGTTATACCTTTGTCTATAGAAAGAAAAATTCTCTATTCCACTCTTACTCTACAGATGCAAAATCCTACATATAAAATAATCGATCCACCCTCTGATATTTCTTCTATGAATTGCAGGTATTAAATATGCTAAGCATCACAATATAATGACTTTTTCTAGACCCCTAATTATTTTGGTTGAGTCACCATCCTTGGAGGTATTTAAAAGATGTGTAGCTGTGGTGCTTAGGGACGTGGTTGAGTGGTGGACTTGGGAGTGTTAGGTTTACAGTTGCACTCGACGATCTTAAAGGTCTTTTCCAATGTAAATGATTCTATGATTTCAACAAATTTCTATGAACTCTCTCTCTAGAAATTCCATATAGTCCTTAAAGTCCTGACCAGGGCATAGTATTTTATCAGGGGTTTACCAAAGCTGTGTTTAGTGGAAAGATCACTTATGACTTAAAATGTGTATTTTGCATAATCTTTGTAGTCATAATACTTGTTATGAGGTCAAAGCAGTTGTCTACGAAGAGCCCTGTATTTTCCCAAACCTGTCCCATATAATCTGTAGCTTACACTGTTTTCCATATGAGTAATTTCTCTTAACTTTGTAAGCCTTAAACTTAGCTAATTCTTATACGCCTTCACTTACGTGTGAGGAATAGGCACCTCCAAAGGAGTCTCCACGCTACTAAACTGAGGTACCTGTCTGAGCCTTTGGTGCACCTACAACAGTATTTCAGTTCAAAACAAAATGAGGTTCTAAAGCAAGTCTCCTCACCACTCTCACTTCCCACAGCAGAGGGGTTTCCATGTATGCTGACTGGATTCCTTCTGGATGAAACTCAAGCAGCAGATACACTCCAGGAGTGCACCAAGAGTACTTCAACCGATAATGGAAATTCAGTTCACAGGACAGGATTACAGCTTGTCCAGAGTAAAACTCTCAAAATGGACACCAGATCCTCAGCATGAGCCATTTCACTCCTGCGACTAATATGACACACTGCTTGTTACTGTAGATGCAGCTTATGGCCTTCCCAGGATTGCAAAGGGAGCTCTGGGAGACCAGTTGACACAACGTACCTGATTTCAGATTTTTAAGTGGGATAAATCCTTCCCTGGTTCCTAGATGTCATTTGGCTATACCAAAATGCAGATTGTCATAATGGGACCGTTTAACAAGCAGTGCACATAGTTACAAATCAGTAACCTGCTGTTGCTCTCACTTTGCTATCTGCCAATCTTTGTTGACTCCAAATACTTTATCAGCAAATATTTTATTCTCTAGATTCCTGAGGAATTTACTGAACAGCATTAGGCCTTGCTAGGAAAGACCTCACTCATTTCTCTGCGTGTTCACATCTCACAGGACCGGTTTGTAGATCATCCATGTCTGTAATTTTAACTCCACTTGTGCAAACTTTTAAATCCACAGGCCTTTGTTTTATCAAGGCAAAAAGCCTCTTCGGAATTTGAGCCTTTGATGGCTTTATAAGCCATCCATGCAATCTTGCCCTCCCAAGAGGCAGCAGGCATGTTTAACAACACCTGTTTTTCATTAAACCAAAATAGGACAAATATGTTTGTCTTTAAATTCTTTATTCATGGAGTCCTAATGAATCATTAGAACCTTGGGAAACAGTTAAAAGATAGTATTAATGCAGTGCTAACCTACTACTGATTAAGTACTGAAGCAATACCCCATGGACCCAGATCCTATGGTACTCGGTAGTGTACAGATAGAATGGAAGGGTCTCTGTCCCAAATCGTTTAAACATCTAATACTAAAACCTGTTAGACCTGTACAATAATTGCTTCATGGGATTTTCCATTAGAAATGTTAATTACATATATGTATTTATTTTAAATTTCTTTTCTCTTTTGCTCCTTGTTCTAGTTGTTCCAGCACTGCCAACAAAGGGTCTAATCCGGCTCTTAGGAAAATCAAAGAGAGTTGCTCCAAGTGTAACTCCACTGATGCATTAATGAACACAATATACTATGGCACTTCTTGGAAAGGTGGACAGAATGGGAAATTCTTACAGAGCATGAATGAAGACTTTTCTGTTCACATCACTAGATATTTTCCTGCTTTCCTTCCAAATAATCATGGTCAAGACCTTTCATAGTTCTATGGCAGATTTCATATTTGATGCCAGCTACAAATGAATCAATGCATTTCCTTCTTTCCTCCCAATTTCTTTTTGAGGTCTTAATAGAGATCCACAGTATGAACTTGTGGCAAAAATCATCACTGTTTTTATACAAGAGTGATGGGGACAGAAGCGTTTTATCTAGCATTGCCACTTCCCACAGTGGGCCCTGGAATACTGTGGAAGTACTGGAAAGACGACTGGCTATTCCAAGTTTCCTCTATTTCTCCACTGCCTCTTAAGCCTTGCCCACTGAAGCCATGCCAAGTTCCCCTGGTGGAAGAAATACATAAAAATGGAAAAGCAGCAACCTGAAGTTAAAACAAATATCAAAGAATACCATAAGATGGGGGAAAAAAAAAAAACCTCAGAGAACGTATTGCCTGCTAATCTAAGACAACTGAGGACTGGATTGACTGCCCCATTACTTGCAGTTGCGTCTTCCAATCTCTCTAACAAGACTTGGTGGAATTCCTTCAGAGCGCACACAGGCTTGCAACCCAGGAGCTAATCAAAGCACTCTCACCTTTAGCCAAGTGCAATTTTGTTAAACTCTTGCATAAACGATTACAGCAGGACAGCAGAACTCATGTTTATTACCTGAATTGTCTGGTAAACCGAAGGGTCAAATCCTTTCACAGTCACCTCCCGGAAAACTCTTGGCTCCAGTTCCTCTTTGGTCAGATCACAGTGATATATAATACCTAAAACAGATTGCAAGTTTGTCAGCTTAGTGTATGTCCATCATTAAAAGGATGCCAGTTTATGCACTGTGATGGAGTAACAAATGGCAAAGGTAACTCAGCAGGGTGAAAAACAGTAGCTCCAGAAACATTCTTTCAGTTAATATATAATTTAACACATACATATATGCACTTCATCTAGGAAGGGTGCAAAGGCTTTCTGTACAGAAAGAATAATTCTCACTGCCCATACAAAGCCAGGTATCCAAAGCGGGTTAAGCAACATGGAAAAAAGATTTGTTTTCATAAAGTTACATAGCACTTATTGAGAATGATAATGTTGGAAGAAAGAAGTATAAAGTCAATTTTAAAACATCTCCTCTGGAACCACCAGACTGAGCATAAATATATCAAGAATTTCACTCAGGTCAACATTTTTCTCTTTATGATAAAATATTTTGAGATTTTATTCAAATAGACCCCCAGATAACAGAAAGAGCTGAGCATCCACTTGAAATTGTGGCAGACTAGCACAGGTTACCTATGTAACTGAACAGAATTTGGTCTTGTATAATTTATTTTACATGCTGATCCTGCAGGTTTGAAGGCAACTTCACTTGCTTGAGTTGCAACTACGATATCCAAAGAATTGTGCACATCAGAAAATTTATGTCTACAAGCAGCATAAAAATTCTAGATTGCAGCAGAGGCAGAATCACAGAGACTGTAGCAATCTAGACACTACACAGATGTATAATTGGCCAAGAATTTTGCATTTAAACTATAAATCACATTTCCTGTCATTCAACCCTAATAACACTTGAGCACATGCCATACAGTGTGACTATTGTGTTTGCACACTGGTTAACATAATACAAAATCCTAATATTCATGGATATACTACAGATACATATGATACATAAAGCTAACCTCAGTGTTAATTATTCTTTGTTTTTCTGCTTTACAACAAGCTGGTCTCTGTAGAATTTTAAATGTGTATCGGGGAAAAGAACACTAAAAGTTAAGGCAAAAAGCCCTCTACAGGGATCCTCAATGTAATAAAATTAACCAAGGTGGACAAGACTTGATTGAAATACTACTGTATTGTGTATATTTTAGATACTTTCAGGAAACCAGAAGTAATTATTACAGAGGTTATAGCTATAAAAAATTATATTGAAACATGAAATAATGAGGAAACATATCTGATACAAGGGAATTACCTCATAAATCACTTCTATAGACTGTGGAAAATCAAAGATACAGATTGGCAAGGGAACACAGATGAAAACCAACATTTCTAATAACTGATGAAGCCTTTTTCTGCAATGGTGAATTAACAGGGGAATAAAAGTAGGACTACTCTACATCTGCTGGGAATTTTTTTTCTTCATTTGTCACAAAGGGACTAGCAAGCCTAATGCAGGGTGACAGGTACAAACAAGCATTAAAGCAGCATTTCCCTTAAAGATTAGGATCCAGAAAGTGATGTGAAAGCACAAAGGAAAGCACACTAGGCAGTCACAGGCAGAGCAGTCATTTGACTTCTATACAGCTGCCCAGGCTGGATAATGTATGGGTGTCCTGGTTTCGGCTGGGATAGAGTTAATTTTCT